GAGAGAGAGAGAGATGAACAGAATAAACAATGTTTCGACAAATGAAATTTTACCATTTTTAGAGGGATCAATAAAATAGAAAATAATATTTATGAATAATGTGTGCCGATTAAATATGAATAAGAACAAAAAAATATCAGAGAGCATGATATTTATCGTTTCGATTTCTATTGGTTTCTCTTATTTCTTCCTTGATTATTACAATAGTAAAAAAATGTATAGGATCAATGGATGAATTAATAATTAATAATATAATAATACAATAAATATATTATATTGTAAAATATAATAAAATATAATATATTTATTCGTAATAACTCGAATTTTAATCCAAAAAAAAAAAAAACTAAATCTAACAAATTACAATTAGAAACAGAATCGGAGTATGGAAGTACCTTCTTCGGTGATCGAAGAAAACTTGTTTCGCGAACGAAGCGCCACCATCGAGATGACCTCACAGAATATCGAACTTTTGAATCGACGTAACGAGAAGAGAACAAACGCTACGTCGACATCGACCAGCACGATCACCACTTGTATCACGACATCGTCAACAACTACTGCAATGACGATCGCAACTGATAGTTGTTGGCCACGCGGCCACGAGGTGCAGAGTTCCATCGAAGCGTCACCTGTTTCGGAAAAACCTACACCACCGACTAGTTCTCCTCCAAAATCACCGGATCAAGTGGAAGGAGATAGTTCAAGAGGGGCTGTGCCCAGACGATCCGGAAGCTGTTCTAGTTCTTCCTCCTCCTCCTCCTCCTCCTCATCCGGCAGATCCTCGGATCCCCGTATCTCACCGCGAAACTTGTCCAATAGTTTTTCCAAGAACGAGAATTCTTTCCTTAACAACAGAAAAGTCTCGAGCCCCACTCAAACGGATAACACTGGTTCTTCGAATATATCCAGTTCACCTGTTCGCTCGAATCAAACGAAAGAGATAGAGTTGCGAATGGATAAATCCTCTTTATCGAGCAAATCCAGATCAGGAGGAAGATCTTCGACTTCTTCCTCCGTATCAAGCTCCGTATCGAAAGCTTCCTCCTCGTCGTCATCAAGAAATTCTCCGGTCGAAGAGGACGTGTCGTTTTCTGCGATGTCGCCATGCGTATCACCTCAGCCGGGAATAGAAGGATTGACACTGTTACAACGTACGGAGGTTGTGCTTCGAGTGAATACGGCTACCAGTGACGTTGCGTCACAGACAGATATTCCAGAAACAACAGAGATCGAATCATCATCAGTCAAGATTCGAGAAATTCTTCTTTGCAGAAAGAAATTGCCAGAAGAGATCGAATGCGAGGAATTGGGTCGAGACTTGGCGAGTCAGCTCAATCCGAACGATAAGCTGGTACCTCTTCTAGGTAAGTGTATATGTATATAGGAACATATAAACGTCGATCAGTAGCTTCGAACAATACCGTTAGTTCACGATTTAATGTTTAATTTAATTTAATGTTTTGATTTTTAGTTGTGAATATCTTTCTACATCTTTCTGTTCGACTACATGTTCGATTAATATAATTATATTATCGATATTAATTTTTATTAATTTTGCGAAACTTTTTACTTAATAACATATACAACAAATTACATATGGAGTAATTGTTTTTCATTATTATAATATCATATATCATAATTCGAGACATAAATAAATCCTTGATATGTCAATTATTCTTTCATTTTTTAAAATACGTATAATTTAAAAATTAAAAAAACGATAAAAATTTCGCACAAGATTCTCTATTAAAACAGAAATTACCGGAAAAAATATATTTATATATAATTATATATAATCCATTATATTTATACTTTTATTTAAAAAAACTCGAATTTTTGGATTTGGTTTGGATTTCCTTATATAACACCTTATGAACTTTTGACTGACAATATATTTGTCGTATTTTTCCATTCTTTGAGAACTTTGAGAATTCATTTTAAAATTAATTCTATATTATTCGTTCGTTCAATAAAACCTATGCAAGATACATCGATTAACAATCTTCACGTTTCCATCGGTAGCTTATCGCGAGCAAGGCAAATTTAGCCCAGCTAATGTCATCGTCAGCTTCGATCCTCTTGTTCGAGAATTTTATTATTCACACGATAATAAGACATAGATAAGATACATACCTACACGATCTAGTTTGCTCGTACCACGCGTCTGTTGATAGCTGTTGATGCGTCATCCGCGACGAGGTGGAGTCCATTGGCCGGGCCGACGACCTTTTATTTTAATAAGCGTTAAACCAATCGACCAGTCAACCGTGTTATTCAATTACGTTGTTGTTATTGTCCCTTGTCTCCATTCCTCTCGATAGAGGAACGTGCACACACGTTTTATGGCTTCCAGGTGAATTCCAAGCATGTGTAGAAATTTATACGCATTCATACGTATTAAAAAGAAATTAGATTAAGTTTAAAATAATTTTATTAATCAATCAATCTAAACTTGAATTTAGATTTTTTTTTCATCCATCTCGAGATAGATCTCTTGTATAAAACATTTTCTAATCCATTCAATTTGAATCTTTTCCATTATTGAACACGAGTATTTTCATAACCATTTTGCTTCCTCCTTGTCGAAAACATTGTGAATTCCTTTTCCATTTTGCAAAAATTGAATCGTAAGAAATGTATCACACGGTTGGAAATACAAATTTTTAGAATATATTTCAAACATATAAACAGAGAAGTGGTAAGTAAAATTATTATATTAACGTAGAAGAGCAAAACTACCTTGAAAAAAAAAGATAAAGTTATATTTAGATTAGTTTGTTGTTAAAATTTTTATAAATATCGTCCGTTTTCTTTTCGATCACACTTCGTTTTTCCATCAGTTCCAGCTCCAGAGCATAAAAAACCCACAGACTATGTTACCGGTCTGTTCAGGATAGAAGCGACTCTACATCCGCGACCCAGACATCGATTGTCTCTCGAAGAACCAATGACTCCTTGCTCGGAGAATGGAGATGAGGAGAAAAAGTGAGTATTATTATTATTATTATTATTATTATTATGATATATATTATTATTAATTTTAGTAATTGAAGATTTTTTCTTTGTAAAACTTGTTGTTATCAAATAGATTCGTATGCGAGTTATATGAATATATAATATTTCATAATATTTTTTTTTATTTCGAGAATATATCGTATCAAAATTTTGAATATTAAGAATAATAAAATCATTTTATCATTTTATCATTTCAATTTATTATTAAAGAGTATTAATATGTAATAATAAAAATAAAAAAAAATAATACTTGATTACATTATACATACATATGTATATTAAATACGCATTTAAAAAAATATTTCAAAAATCTAAGCATCGAAGTTTAAAATATTAAATATATACGAATATAATGACGTATAAAATTCATGTTTATCATTTTGTAACTTGATAATCTTGATAATAGCCTCGAAAGAAATATATTATAGAAAAAAATCGTATATATACAGCGAGCGGCATTCGATGGAAACGATTATACAAAATTCTGTAATTTCCATAATTCTAAACTCATGCTTTCTCAGTTATCCGCACCATTTCCTCTCATTATCGTTACATAAATGTTAACTAATCGTTCCAAGACGTAATCGTACACAACGTCTATATTTCATACAAGTTGATCCAGATATTTGCAGATCTATTGCTATTCACTTTCACCCAACATCTCGATCACGCAAAATTTTCCCAAATATCTCGGATTTCTATCTATATCGGACATGTAGGATGATTTTTTCGTCAGTGAATTTTCGCCAGAAGCGAATTATCTTATTTTCCTTTCAATGAAAATTAGTGAAAAGTATTGGCAAAAGAATTATAATTATCATTTCATGAATTTTTATCATTGATGAATTTCAAGATGTTTTAACCATGATGAAATGATATCGAAGAATTTTCTTCTTTTTTTTTTTTCACGATGGATCGCGAATAAGAAAAAGATCAAAGAGATCGATCTTCTATCGAAGAATAAATCCATTATTAATCGACGAATAACTCTTATGTGGGCGTGATTGTGAGATTCCTAGCCGATCATCGTTAGAAAAGAGCTCCATTACTGTTGGGATTTAATTGTCGTTTTTAAATGATGAGCGTCGAATTTGTGACACAAGCTAATAGCTGGACAATAATGTTGGTGAGTTTATAGTTTTTGTTATTGTCGTGGATGTTTCTATCGTTTATAGAAATAGGTGGAATATATAAGCCAAACTCGATTGTAAAGTTAATTAATCGGTCAGGTATATTCTTTTAATTTTAATTTATTTGAGAATTACATTGATTTAAAGGACCGAAAGATTAACAACTAAAAAAAAAAATTCATCATTTATGACATGTCATAATAATCATCAAGTGAACTTTTTATATCGTCCTAATTCTAAATGGTCAAAGGCTATATAAAATTGAAAATTTCAAATCGCAAGAATAACGAAGGATTGGAAAATATTTCTCGATTAAGTCCATAAACGTACTCGAATACCTTTTAAAGCCATCGGTGATTAATTCTATTCGAGAAACGAGTTTTTTCCCGTCAATCTGAAATCATCCGGTCTAATAGTGGACAATATTTCCTCCGGCATATGCCGAGAGAAAGTATCAAAGGCGCAAGACGGTTGCGTAACTAACCATAAATGATATTGTTAGACTAGCTACTTGGTGGTCTACGCATCATTTCGTCCGCCAGTCTGCCACGAACGAGCGGTGACATCGTTTCGCTCGATTCTTCACTTCGCGGTTTTCGTCACACATTTTTCAATATAACACGCGAACGTTTAGCATGGAGATCAAAGATACGGAGAAGTATAAATTAAAATCAAATTCCCCTTTCATAATATAATAAAATCTCTATATATATTTGACTATTATTATATGACTATTATATATATATATGTTTGTACATATATGTATGTATATATAATGGCAAATCTCTCAATTTTCTTTCTCCAACAGAATTTTGAATCAATTTAATCGAATTAGTCGATTAAAACATTTTTCACGATTTTTTTTTCTTTTCGTTTTGTTTACTTTCGATTTGTTTGGTAATCCTAGGAATTTATATGATTATTCTTATTTCTTCTAATTTCTTCTTATTCTTTTATATTTGCTCTCACTCGATTAGATTTTTTTCTTTCTTCGTCACCGTATGATAATTAGCAAAACATTTTCATCATCTCTCTTACCTATTCTTTCTACTCGGAGGTATCAAAGTATCTCAAGTACTGTAAAAATGTACTGTATCTCCGAACTGATCTTCTCTCTCGAACACGAGTTCATCGTCCATCACGTATATACGACCTACAATCGTTCCGTCTAACCAACGTTTTCCTCTGGTAATTTCCAACGGTAAAACGTTGTTTCGTTGACTGGAAGTAGATTGACTTATTGAAGCAAGAGAATTTCTTACCACACCCTGGTAGAACAGAAACGCTTTCGAAAGTGGTCACGGGTGGTTTCTTGGACCGCGGCACGCAAAATCCACACGAAGTTTAGCGATCGTATTCGCAATAGCATCCATTTCCTCTTTTCATTAATTGCTTTTGATCTTTCGAGCGAGCGAGCGAACCAAGTGAGACATGATAGCAAATCAACCAGATCGCTCTTCGAATCATCGGAAATCACCAAGTTTTCTATTTCTTATCACTTTCTCTTCTTTTTTGAAAAACTTTCTTTTAATGTTATACATTTATTTGTCTACGAATGATATATATAATAGTTGCATCTTGATCGGATGTGTCTTTTGTTCGATATTGTTCCGAATTGTTATTCAATCGTTATTGCAAAGATCAAATATCAAATATCGATTCGAACGAAATTTGACAAGTGAAATTGAAATTACTTTTTCAAAAACGAATCAATGATGACTCAACGAATATATCAACACACCGAATGCGATATGGATGCGCTCGATTTTTATAAACTTTATAGTTATAATTTTTCACGAGAAAAAAAATCTCAAAAAAGATCTTTAGAAATAGAGCGATGATTTACAGATACTTTTTAACATTTATTTTGAAATATATATATAATTATTTATGCTTGCTCGCTATACATCGACTCGTGAGAAAAAGTTATTTTATTTTGAAATATTTGGACACTTGGACAATGATATATTCAAATATCATAATAATTAAATAAAATAAAATAATTTACAAGAATTGGCGTTTGATCGATCGAAAGCGCAAATTTTCTAGATAGAGACATATCATTTCGTTGAATTTTGTGGAAATCGGCGAGAGTCGTGTCTAATATTATTTCTCTTATCATTCGATCGTTTGACGATTTGATGAATCGGAAACTTATAACGATACGATTTGTGACGTTGATCTCATCGCGACAAGAAACGCGTTTGAGATTATATCAGGATAGTAAATCATTCGCGAGACATACCCTGTTCCTCGAAACAGTGTCGATCGATCGATCGAATCGTGAGTCATGCTTGCGGATTATGCAGTCGGTGTCGTCTACGATCATGCGAATCTTATATTCGGGGATTGTTGCGATACCATAAAAATTGCCAAGATTGCGATATCCAATCGTCGATAGCCAATCAGATGCGAGAGGAAGGACTTAAAAATAAAAATGATCATTATTGCAGGCACGAATCGATACCCTCGACTCCGTTATCGGCGGATTCAACCAGTCCTCTATCCCCAACGTCCGCTTATTTCACCACGTCCGAAGGAAAGGCAAGGTTTCTCACGAGATATTCACGCGACATGATTGTTGAGGGATCGACGAGACAGGAAGATGTGCCGCCTATCATTCCAACAAATAGCCTTGATCTCAGACAAAAAAAGGTATATTGGATAAAATCATTATAACAAGATAGTTTTTATTTTATCGAAAATTTCATTCTTGAATGTATTCGTGTTCTAATATTGTCCTTATCCTTTTTATTATTATTTTTTTTTTTTCATTCAATATAACATCCAATGAACATCCTTTAACAATGAAATTGAAAACAATCGTTTTAAAAGTCGAACTCGGAAGTCGATCTCAACTAATTCCATTCCGTTCAAACAAACGAGCTGAAATTTATTTGATTTTCTTTATAGGAGGAGTTGATGATGAGTCTAGACAAGAAGCTTGTAGTCCTGAGAGCCGAACAGGAAGCAGTTCGCGAAGAGGGAGAGGTGAACGAGGCTTTGGGAGCAAGAGTCGCAACAAGGATCACAGCTGTTGCTC